GTGGCTCTGGGGGAGGAGGGGGAGGGGCTCTAGGGGGAGCAGCAGGAGGGGCTCTTGGGGGTCGGGAAAGCTACAAAGAAGCTAATTTCACCATCAATCTTCCTATGACATACGAGCATTGTATTCCTGTTATTTCCCCTGAGACTGTGGGGCCGCCATCTTGTTTTCGGTGTCATCAGGCTCAGAGCTGACGCTCTTTAGCAGCAGCTGCTACATAAAAGTTTGTATAGGGAGGAGCTGGGCCAGCACAGAATACCGGAGGGCTGTGATGTGTAAGGAAGGAGGAGGGCTGTCAGTGGTGTATCTATAGCCGTGGTGGGGGGGCAGATCTGTAGTGACCCCCCCCCCCCCCGGGGGGCTGTGCTGAGGAGCTGACACTTCACATCTTCTCATTGCAATTCAATAAACAATCATTCACGGGAAGGAAACGCGCTTCTAGTGAGCAGTGAAAATGCCGGATCCTTCTGCACTTTTGCCTGCCGTCTTATAATCGAAGTGACAGGTTCTCTTTAAAGTGACTCAGGATGCTGTGAGCTGATCCTCGGCGCCGTCTGTGATGCCAGCGGTGCAGAGCCGTCATCAGCACCCCCTCCCCCGCTGTACTTTGTATGTTGTAATCAGTAACTGTTCGCTGCTCTTATGTATGTCAGGGTTCATGGACCTGCAGAGTCATGTGTCACGTGTGCCGGGGGAGCTCATGATGAGCAGAAGACACAAATTATAAAGTGCTTTTTGGATGGAGTGGAGAGGGATCAGAGCGCCTGTCAGGCTCCTACTGCTGTCTGTGTCCCTGTTAGGGGAGATTCACCCTCTACGTATTGTCCTGGTGAATGTTATCACTGAAGGTGAAAGAAGATCCCTCGTTTTGGGTGGTCGCCGGAGCAGGGAGGGATGGGAAATCCTCCAATGGGGACCCGAGTTCTGGTGACCACCCGGGAATTCTTTTTTTATTTTATCTTTATTAATTGTATTATTTTTTTACTTTTTTTTTTCCCTTTAACTTTATTGCTATCACAAAAGGGCTAACAAGCCGGGAGGTGACAGGTTCTCTTTATGGAGACTTCGGGAGTCTATTAGTCTCCCCTGCCCTCCAATACAGACACACCAGTACAGGAAGGCGCTCGATCCCCTGGGCCAATTCTGAAGTGGGCAGCGCTGTGAGCACAGAGCTCCCTGCTACAAGGATCACAGATCAGGGAATGGATGTTCCTCGTTCGGTCTGCTCCTGCTCCTGCTCTTCATTCTGACACTCTGCTGAGGTCCCTTACCCCCCAGAGAAGCAAGGGACCCTAAAAACCAGATTGCAGCACATTCACAGGCTGTTACAAGTGATCTGGGTGCCCAGATCACTTGTAATTAATAAGCATCACCTGCCGAAAAAGACGATACCAAGATCAGGGCAGCAGCAGCCACCATGATCTTGGTACTACCACTTCAGGATGAAGATGCTTATGACCTTGGTATGGTTCTGTGTTGGATGTCTATTGGAGCCCATGGAAACCCATACTGCTTCGCTGGGCGAGATGAACCCAATGCTGTATTTTATATGCCCATCTTGATCCACATAAAATTTCATATATGACCGTCTTGATCCATGGTGAACATCAAATATGACCGTTTTGATCCATGGTGAACATTAAATATGACCCTCTTGATCCATGGTGAACATTAAATATTACCCTCTTGATCCATGGTGAACATTAAATATGACCCTCTTGATCCATGGTGAACATTAAATATGACCCTCTTGATCCATGGTGAACATTAAATATGACCCTCTTGATCCATGGTGAACATTAAATATGACCCTCTTGATCCATGATGAACATCAAATATGGCCATCTTGATCCACCTTGAACATCACAGATGACCTTGGTATGGTTCTGTGTTGGATGTCCATTGGAGCTCCATGGATACCAATACTGCTTCTATGTGAGAACTAACCTTCCTCAGCCTATATTGAGGTTACAGACACCATAGGCATCCAACACACAAGAAGCGGCTGAGGATGGAGGAGATCAATGATTTAGGGTCTACATCCACTTTAACCACTTTAGGACCCTTGGATGTAAATCCTAACTCATTGATCTCCTCCATCCGCAGCCGCTTCTTGTGTGTTGGATGCCTATGGTGTCTGTAACCTCAATATAGGCTGAGGAAGGTTAGTTCTCGCATAGAAGCAGTATTGGTATCCATGGGCTTTAATGGACATTCAACAGAATTATACCAAGGTCATCTGTGACGTTCAAAGTGGATCAAGAGGGTCATATTTGATGTTCACCATGGATCAAGAGGGTCATATTTGATGTTCACCATGGATCAAGAGGGTCATATTTGAAGAGCATTCTTTCTATTGACCACCAATGTGAGGAGCATTCTCCCCGCTGCCTCCCAACATATGAGGACACTACATGTCCACCAGCGTAACAGCATTCTTATCACTGATCACCAACAGAAGGGGGCCATCTCTTCTTGACCACCAATGTGTCGTGCATTGCATACCTTCCAACGTTCTCAGATGGAAAACGGGCACCATATAGTACAAAGTGTGCAGGCAAAAGACACACCTCTGCCATGCCCCTTGTTAGGTGGACCACAAAGAATTAATTGGGCGTTGGGGGCTATGGCATTGCATTGTGGGATGCATGAGGGTCATGCACCAGTGCCATCATAAACTCGTAGGTTCTTTTTGGCAATTCTGCGAGCCAATGATTAGGGATTCCCAGGAAACTCGGGTCATAGGTTACTATATTGACTGTAGACAATACATTATGCATTCACTGCCCTAACGTGATGGACAACAAAGCACTCCGGCATTTCTGAACGTGTAAGATTTCTATTTTTTCCAACAAAGGACTTCCTGAAGTCTAATCTGACCGATTTGCCAGAGCAGGATCCTTTACTGTACAAATATATCACAGGAGCCTTGTTAAAGGAGAACTATGGGGTCAGGGCTTTTCCCCATGGTGAACATTAAATATGACCCTCTTGATCCATGATGAACATCAAATATGGCCATCTTGATCCACCTTGAACATCACAGATGACCTTGGTATGGTTCTGTGTTGGATGTCCATTGGAGCTCCATGGATACCAATACTGCTTCTATGTGAGAACTAACCTTCCTCAGCCTATATTGAGGTTACAGACACCATAGGCATCCAACACACAAGAAGCGGCTGAGGATGGAGGAGATCAA